GAGTGACCGGTAACCAGCACAGGTTCACGAACGGCGCGTCAAGCGGAGCGGCCCCTCGGCCTGCTCCCAATCTCAGCCGGACAGGACGACGGCGACCGGCTCTGGGCCACCCGGAACAGACTGTGCCCGAGATGGCAGCACCGTCGCGGCGAAGGTGGCGCTACTAGCGGGGCGCCATGCCCGCCAGTGGCCCGAGCGCTCTACAGACGGAAGGCGACGCGCGCGTGCCCCAGGTACATGACGACGCTGATGATGGCCAGCGAGCACATGGCGGGGCCGGTATCGCGCGTGTCGCTGTTGTATCTGCTGCGGTTGCTCGCGATGGTAGGATCTCGTCAACGACGGACTGTACCATTTTCGAAGCGCCACGCATACTTGTGATATTAACGTAGCTGTAGTTGGTGCTTTGAACTGCTACTTGCGTGAAACGGCTTCAAATGCATCCCCCTGTGTCATTTTGCTGATCTGGCACCGTACATTGCCAGTATCGAGCATTACTCTTTGACATATTCGTTTCTTTTACATGTGTGATGCAGTTTCGAGTTAGGTAACTTGACGTCATATTGCTGTGCAATATATGATCGCACGACACAGTGTAATCGCAAGTGTTGTCATCGTATCTTTACGACGCACTCAGGTGGTGATGGCTTGCAAAGCGTTGTCTTCCTCTCTTCCGAACAGGATAAGAGACTTCGCATGGAATCAAACCCGGCAATTTTGGTTTCCCAAACGCCCAGCCTAACCACAGTACCGGAGTTCCGGAATACCGGAGCGGTACCCGAGCAGTACAGAACGGAGCAGCATTGGAGCCCCGAATCGCACGTCGTGCTACAATGTTTAAGGCGGAGCCTTTCGCTTGCAGGGCTTATGGTTTACAATCATTTTGTTTCCGAATTCGTTCACACCGTTATGGTCAATGAAGCCGGGAATTCCGAGTAGCTATGGACCCTGAAGCAGCGGAAGCCTGACCTTGCGGAGGCCCGGAAGCAGATGTGCAAGCAAATTAAATACAGATCACGGATTCGGAAAAAATTCAACCGAAATATTCAACACGTTGAAGTATGAATTCCTCTTAACTGGATCCCGGGGCAGTGGCCTGATGGGACACGACCATTCCAAGACGGCGTAAAACACCCACGTTTGCACCAGCTGTGTTTGATTATTTTGCAACTGGCACAGTATTTACACCTTGGGCCTCAAACAGAATTGAGGTCCCCCAAATCAAATGCACTTTTGCATCTCATACACCGATAGGCCTTTTTACAATTTCTCCAACGCGTCTCAGATGTTCTGAATGATTCCCTTATGGTTTGCTAGACAGTTCTTACAATTTTAAGACACTTCAAATCTGTCACATGTCATTTCAGAGCCACGCACTTGTCACACATGTGAACTGTCTTTTGTCATGTTATTTCATTGCACTATTCGGGGTGCTCTGCACCGTTCTGAGTTCATGCACCGTTCGGTGAGGCTTGTGAAAACGCATTATCAGGTGAAATTGGCTTCAAAAAGTGGGCTAGCCACCAGAGTAAGTAAGCTCCCCATGGGGGGTTTACGTCCGTAAAGGGGTCTGGCATAGCTACTAGAATATGAGCGACATTTTGTGAGGGGGTGGATCCTAATCAATCTTTTATAGGACAGATCATGTGTTTCGAGATGCTTGATTTTAGCGTCCTTAACCTCTTGGAGGAGGAAGGGTTGGAATATGGACAACAAAATGGTGGACAGAACAAACATCGAGAGGACCACTGAACATCACCAGAGATACCAACCTCCACACAGGGGACTCACAAATTACGTCAAGCGTACAGGCCGAAGGTGGTGGCGCGTAACGAAAGGGCAAAGAGGAAAGGAGGAAAGGTTCCTGCCAGCATGACGTTACGCTCAGGTGTGGTTGGAAATCATGCTAAAATGTTTAAAAACAAATAAAACCTTAAAGCTGGATGCCGTCAGCTTAATTTTATGATAAAGAGCACGCTCATTATATGCTTCGAATCTCTGGCAAAATTGGACGCCAAACGGACTTTACTTTTGGGACGTTACGCTTGACACAGCGTAACCAGGAGACATGAACGGTTTCGTCGAGCGTTACAGTTTTGTAACCAACGGGTGGAGAAGGGCTGAAAATGACAAAAAATGCGTGACGTAATTTACGGACAGTCCAAAAAAGTCCTCGTCAACTTACGTTTTTTTTATCTTCTAAGCGAGACCATATAGTGAAGACCATCACAGGTAATAAGGCTCGTACCCAATCCACCCGTTACCCATGAGGGAGGGAGCAGTAGCCCTTTCTTCCCCCCCCCCCCCTCTCTCTCGATCAGTTGTAACCACCCGTTTTAAATTTTTCCAGCACTTGGCGCTTTCAGCACTTTTATTCCGGAAATCGATCTACAAGACGTTAAGTATGAAATATCAAATAAGCCTTGTACACACACACCACACACACACACACACACACACACACACACACACACACACACACACACACACACACACGCACCACACACACACACACACATAATGCATGTATATATATATATATATATATATATATATATATATATATATATATATATATATATATAAGGCGTTCACGAACATATTTCTTATATTACAGATCTGTGGACATTTGGATATTTTAAGTTATATGTTCAGCGTTCATCTGCCTAGTAAAACGATTACGTGGATTGTAAGACTGGTGTTGGACTCCGGGCAGTCTCTTAGTCGACTCAAGAATAAAAGGTCGTGGGGTAAGAGCGGAATCTATTATCTGACGTGCTTCGGAGTTGGACTTGGGCCACTAAAATGTTCAATGAGTTGGTTCAAATAAAAAAGCACGCAATACAGCATATTAACATTATGATAATTAATGAACGGACCGAATAGGTGGTAGTCATCGATGGCGGTTTTGCTATAAAAGTGCATAACACGTAACACAAATTGTTCTGTGGGGAAGATGTCAATGTTTCCGAACTCTTACGAATTTGGACCAAGAATTCCTCATCACCCAGCATCTAGTGTAAGCCTCTGCCCAGGGTGGAGGAGAGGGAGGGGCATGAGTGCGACCCTATGTCCCTTGACAACATCCCTACATGCAGGCCTTTAAGAAGCCCATAGAACTATTTATATTGTTAATTGCTGTCACCGGCATCAGCCTCCATCAAAATTGCTCAAGCCGGAATCAGACTTCCAAGCCGACCCGAAGGTGTCCTGTGTTGCTATAATAGGGGTAAAACCCACATCTCTGCAGTCGGAGTCGGAATCAATTCCGCTTGTGGTGGAATCAAGCCCAAGGCTGAATAACAGGTTAGGATTTTGTGGTAAAACATAGTCAGGACTATGTGTGCACATGCAGGCCCTTCAGGCATTTATACGATTTTATGTACGGTACGATACATATTTTGGTTCCCAAGACAACCAAAATTGCTTTCAAAATAAATTGTTTTGTTCTGTCCCCTTGGCAACACAGGACACTGCGGCCCTGTTAGACACTGCGGGCCCCTGATTCGGCAAAGAGAATCTTATTCTCTCAGGGATTCCGATCAATGCAAATCGCGGGTCCCGGCCTTACTCTTGGTTGGAATATGGGCCCACAGGGCTAAGACCGACACGGGAGGAGGATGTTGTTTGTTGTTGGTCTTTGGCCAAAATGGAGCCTGCAATGTCACAAGGGTCTCCAAACGGTACCAGAGGCCCTCTGAATGACATTTGAGCTCACGGTCCGACGGGCCGGGATCCTTAGTGAGACATGCAGTCAGCTGTCAGGGACCCCAGCACTCCAATCGGGCCCTTGATCATCGGTTCCGAGAAGCCCTTCTGATACCTCTTCGGTCCCCTCAAACACTGTCCCTGGCTGACCCCCTGCCAACACAGGACCCTCCGTTAGGTGCTGTGGGCCCCGGGCCGACACACGTCATTGACTCAGGAGCATCGGCTTATGTATATCGTGGATCCCGGCCCTGTCCCTATTTGTGAAATGGGCCCCCAGGCCTATACCAACACGGGGTCGGCTGCTCGGTACTGGCGGTGCCTGACCGGCATGAAGGCCCTCCATAGGCGGATCCTGGAGGGTCCACGGGGCCATGCCCCCCCCCCCCCGAAAAGCTCTGAGAGTATGTTTTGCCCTCCCCCTCCCCCAAAGCATTCCCAGAACTTCATAAAAGATTCGTCTACTTACCTCAAAAGATGCACCTCAAAATAATAGTCTACATAATAGCAAATACATAATAGCAAAATAATGCCTCAAAATGAGGGTTACGAGCTTTGTAAACATGCATACTGTATATAGAAGATTCAAAAACACTTCGGTGCTTGAATGGTGTCCCTACTAGGTACTCGCGAGAGGCACCACGCACAGGACCTCAGATCCCACACCAGCCAGCTGGCGACGAACGATTGCCCCCCCCCCAAAAAAAAACAACAACTCCAGGCTAGATCCGCCCCTGAGGCCCTCATCGACTCAAGAGGATCCCAATCGGCGTAAGGGCCATCTGACTTGTATTTGAGGGCCCTGCCCTGCGGGTTAGGGCCCCTTACTGCGACCCGCGTGCAGCCCTTCGGAAGTTCAAACCACGCCCTTGTGCCCGTCGGGAGCTAAGTGTGAGGGGAGGGGGGGGGGGTGGGCACGCATTCCCGGGCTCTCGTTCTACCCGCACCACTTATCCACTGTGTCCCATTGGGGAAAACAAAAGTCGGCGTGAAATCAGATTGTGATAATAATATTTGTCCTCAGCGCGTACAGAACCTAATGACAAGAATCCTAGGGTTCGTTTCCGATGTCCATTCACATGTTTGCGTGACTCCTGGGGCTACAGACCTCCCGGCCCCAGTATGCGTATTACGGGACTACGAAGGCGCGATGAGCCATATCGACCAGCAGCGTACACCTAGGCTGTCAAGGTAAAGCTAGGGTTCGTAATATGGACACTAGGTGGCAGTAGCGCATAACTCGGGAGTGATTCGCGTCAACACAGCGGCGGCCAGTCAGTTGTGGTCGGATAGGAAAGTGGGTCGGGGGCGGCCGTCACGGTTAGGCGCGTGTCGCCACGTTTCTGAACTGTAGTGACAGGGGAACTAAGAAACCGTTCAAACTGTGTCCCAGTGCTTAACTCATCGTACTTGGAACTCAAAGCGTGGAGCTCTGACGACGCAGAGTGGCTGTGGTCCAGCGATCCCCGGAGTCAAAGCAGAGAACTGAAGGTAAGCAAGCCGTGTTACTTCAGTCATGTAGGCTCTAAACGCGTGATAACTTATCTAGAGGGTGCTTATATCGGCGGGCAATCCCGTACACAAAATTTGGTGAACCTGGCAATCTATGTTTAGACGCTTTCCAAAACTGAATAGATGGTGTTTGCTAGACAAAAACAAAGCTAGATAAAACTATGAACTACAGGTGAAGTTCAGGTTATGAGCAGTGCTCCCAATTTACGCTAGTTTTTTATGGAATTGCACCTTGCGTGTGTCGACGCTGGTCGTGAGGTGTCATTTCAAGGTCGTATTGTGGCTGTGGAAGCAAGAATTTGTAGCAGATAATATGACGTCATTAGTTTCAAGGAGGACCTGCCCGCATTCAACCATTGGAGACATTATTGGAGACAACCATTGGTCCGTACATTACGTACTTGCGGTAGAAGTTACAGGTCCTTCTTGTGATTTTTGTCATGTGCGCTCTGCTATACAAAACCTTTTTAGAGCTTGAAATAGCTCTAAAAAAGCTCAGAACAAAGGTCGATTTAGCTGTTGAATCCACGACAAGGGCGGATACACAGCCTTTATGTGCAATGTTTCTATAATGTATTACGTAACGTGTTATGTGTAGTGTAATGTATCATAATGTGTTGTGTGTAGTGTTTCTCACGGCAGCAGCCAGCCAAGTTTCTTCAAATCCCGCCGATTTCGGTGATGTTTGCCAAATTGCTGTAAATTTATACATGTGGCGTAAACTTCTGCTCGGAGAGGGAGGGGGTTTCAGCGTTGGGGAAGAGGATGCCTGCTTTGCGGTTCAAAGCTTTTATATGTTCTACTCACTACGTGCGTATAGGAACCGATAACGCAGCCTGAACGCGAATTAATTCGCCTGGCACAGGTTTGTCCTGGTTGACTGTCAAACCGTCAGAGCGAGTGAACCCTGAAACCGTAAAGCATACGCTATCATGCGCCCGAGGTCGACATTGAGGGATGCTGGCGATGACGACTCGTCGGCGTGCCTCGAAAAGGCCCCAGTTCCGCGTCCGCGAGAACCCATGAGTGTATCCGAGGTGTGGGGCGTGTCCACCGTCCGGGTACATCGGTCCCGGCTTGATTGACCGCGGTCACCAGGCCGTGGCGCGGGTGAGAAGCATGGCGGCCTCCAGCGGCTGCTGAGAAAACAATGCAGAGGTCTGAAGGAAGGTACCGAGGAAGCTCGTTCAAAGCGTGGCCCATTTTGGTCCGTGAATAAGCCGTAGAAGAAAGCCAGGTGGGAAGTGGCGAGCGGCAAGGCAGGAGATGTATGTTACCTTTTTTGAAAAGCGTTTCCAGAACAGGTGCGGTACCCTCACCCAATTCCTACCGGTTTAATTCAAACTAAGCTAATCCATTCTAATCCTCTTTCGTTCGAGCACGCTCCCAGAAATAAGCAGTGGCCGTAACCCACAAAGATCGGTCTCTGCTCCTAACAACCTGACAACCAAGCGTGACCTGTCGCCCAGAAGGGATAGGGACGATCGCCTTACTCCCCCCCCCCCCCCGCCCCATTGAGAAGCTGGGGTCGCCCGGAGGATGGCCCAAGGACCATTTAAGGTCCCTTGAGTTATATTTTCTTGATGCTTTATTGGAAAATTGAAATGAAAATGTTGAACGTGCTTTTTACGAGGTTTCCTGAAGCGTCAAGGGTTTCGCACCGGCAACCGGGGTCCCACACTTGAGACATAGTTAACCCATCATCGTGCACGAGAGGACTGTTTGATCCGGAACCCAGACAAGCGACCCCATCTGACCGGAGGGGTCCAACGAGAGGCCAGTTTGACTCGTAGTCTCTCGCGCGAGGCACGTTTGATTTGATCCGGCTGCAAATGCCTTGTGAGCCTTCACTGCCATTGGGAGAGGAGTGTGAACAGGTCTATTCGGCTTTGGCAGCACAACAATTGATCTGTTAGTTTCCTTGAGCACCGGAATAGCCACTACTGCGCCTAGCGTGCGACATTCTTAACTTACGTGCACGGTTCGGCGGCTTTACCTCTATGAGCGTGTAAACACGAGCGAGCAAAATATCAAGTTGGTCAAAGCATACAGACAGTGCATGCGGGTGTGACGCCGACTGACCCCGCGCCGCGCACTCGACTCATTTCTCAGATCCGTGCGGCGATGTCGGTACGCTGGCATTTCTGCTTTCTTTCGCACAGCGAACTCCCAGCCGTGTCGTCACACGACTCAAACCGTTCTCCAGGCTCACTTTCAGCCGCGGCGTATTTTTCCTCGCGGGCGTCCTTGAACCAGTTAACTTTCCACGGCGCCTGCCTCACGTGCACCGCCTGATGTGTTGCCGCGCGGCGCGGCGCGGGGCTGGTGCCGACTGGGCGACTGGAAGAGAACCCTTGTGCGCCAATGGTGCGTGATGGGGGATGACAGGAGCACGGTTGGCGCCACCGCCTATCGGTAGGCACCGCCCAGGCGTGAGCTTGGAACAGAAATGGCGCGGTGTCGATCATTGTTTGTTGCGAGCCTTTTGCAGAGCGTGTGGGGAGAGAGTGTGAGCGAGGAGACGGCAGACCGTGGAATGTTTGCTCACAGCTTTGCAGGGTTCGATGTGTTTCAAAGCGCAGGTGATCAGCCCGCTTCAAGCTGAAGAAAAAGTTACGCATTGTTTGAGACGTCCTTACAGCAGCGATGACTCATCGGCCTTGAACTCGGATTTGTCCTTAGTTTGGGAAGGATTGACCTGAAAACGTCAGTCCACAACAGGTTCCATGCGTGGGCGGCGACGTCGGCCTGCCGCAGAGCCGGCCCGGCCCAGCGCCTCGTGTGGGCGGCGCGGCGCCGGTGCGCGCGGCGTACGCCGGAGTCGCCACCTCCTTCCGCCGGCTGCGCCCGAACGAGAGCGGTCCGGGGATGAGCCGCCGCACCCGCCAGCTGTGCCGCCGTCCCGGGCCTGTAAACAGGGGTGGGGGGGGGGGCGTATTTTGGGCCGCGTGGCTGGGGAGCAGCACGGCCCCGGGCGACCGGGCCGCGCCGGCCGCCACCCGTACGGACGGATGCGGGGTGACGTGCTTGACCCAGAATCCGCCCGTGCTCTGCGAACTGTCTGAACCCACTGAACTCACTGAGAACGTACGACTTAGTGGTCGATCCATCTCGAATCTCTAAACATTCAGACCATCGCAATCGCTGATATTTCTGGACCGCGTGAGCTTTCTGGCCCTGGTAGCTCGGCCGTCGCCGTCATCCTTTCCCCCTGACCTCTGTGACCCAGCTGCGCTCCCTCCGCGAGACTGTCACGGGTGGCGTGGACAGCACAGCCGCAGCATCCCATCCAGCCGTCTGCCACCCCCGCCCGGCCCACGTGGACTCCCTCGCCAGTTGTCGCTGACCGCTGGGGCTCACCGCCTTCCGCCTCTGTCCGGTCTGCCCTGCCACAGTGTCCTACTTCTGGGGTTCTCAGTCGGCGCCCTGCGGTGGCGTGCTCGGAGGCCGTGTCCGGCCGGGCGGTCCTCTCCCACAAACCTCAGAGGGCAGACCAGATCGGGTGCCGCAATCTTCCGCACCCGAGAGCTCTGCTGTTACCTGGTCGACAACTGGAATGGAGTCAATGGAACGACCTCGCGTGCTCATGAGGTTGGATCGACCCGCTCGGTTATGCAACCGACGGCGGCTTGGTGCAGAGACCATGGGCTTCCGCTGCTGTGAGTCCGATGCATCGCCCGTGTGTAGCTGTCGGCGATACGTAGGTGCCAGCAGCGGTCTAATTATTGCCAACGATGTAGCGCTGCAGGGCCAAGTGACCCAGTCCCCTCCATGATCGGCCGACCAAGTACACGAGCATTAGAAGCAATAGATCTTTCGGGGGCGTAATCGAACTTGACCGTTCATGAGGATAGAGACATGCTAGCATTAGGGCAGGGGAAAAGGGAAGCCCCACGCACTCCAAGCATTTTGTCAGTTTGATATTGAAGGGAATGTTCCACATTTAGAAACATAGGACCAAGCACCAGATATTATGAAGTAAGCTCACTTACAAGTTACAACCATACAACCATCGGTATATTTTTAAGTGGAAAAGATTACTCTAGACAACAACATTCCTTTACTTGGTGGATATGCACCTCAAGCCGCCATTGTTTGATTTTTTTCTTTACCGTTGCCCAAGAACAGGTAACCGGGAGTTCTCCTGCCTCTATCCCAGCAACGTAATGAACTGTACATTTACACCAGAACACATAAAATCAAGTCCAGGCACTCACAGCTTAGAACAAGAAACAACCACAACAAAGCAGGTGAAGTGGTGGTGCGGACCCGACAGGAATCGTGTTATGCAATAGCCAGGGACATATGCACGGGAATGCTTAAAGCAGTCATAGCCGAAGTCATCTAATGACAGCCTGCTAGAACTACCTAATAAGCTACTACCACGCATTTGCAGCGTTAGCAAAGGCTGCCAGTCACACAAGCCGGAGGGGCAATTACCTGGTTATTTTCATGCTGGTTCTTGAGATGGATCCCCAGGAAGTCCATCCGTCGCACAGCCCACCGATGATGGCATCATGCTACCTTGCGTACATTAATTGAAAGCCAATTGATGGTCGTTGCATTTGGAAATGATCTGCTCACGAACGTCACATATAGACAACTGGACAATTATATCTGTATTGGCCTTGATCGCCTCATGGCTAATGAAATGACAGAATCTGAGTGACTTTATTATGGTGTTATGGATGCGTGGATGCAATCGTCTTGAAATGGTCTGCTTGAAATAGTCTGCGCACTGGTTGTGGGCGTGTAACTTAGAAACTAGAAGGGGCTAGGGCCTTAGAAGGGCAGGGCTGTGAACTGCACAAATGATCTTCTAGACTGCTATTTCGGTTCCAAACTTCATACAAACGTGGACCACTCCCTTTAAATTTACCTCATGTATTTCACGGCCACGCCTTAAAATGTTTTTGTTGTGCCTCCCGTCGCCTATTCCGTGAAACCTCAGCAGGACGCACTGGGACTGCGGCCGGCGTGGGCCCGGCAGTAGTCGGCCGCGTGCCCCCCGTCCTGACGCATCACGCAGCTTCGGGGCGTCACGTGACCCGAGCCCACGGCGCCTGCTGGATACGCCGCGGGCTGGCTGCCGTGGACGCCCCCCGCCCCAGCGGACACGCGAGCCATGGTCGCAGAGGCTGCCCCGTGACCGCTGCCCACCCGTGTTCCAGGGGCGAGTGGCCCGGATCGGCGGGCGGTCGCCTGCGGTCCTCCTGCGGCTCCCAGCCGCCACCGCCCGGGCGGGCCCATCGGTTGCGAAAGTGCGTCTCGCCCGAAATAGCGCCCAGCAGGCGCGGCCGCGCTGACGGACGAGCGGTCCGGATCTCGGTACGCAGGTGAGCCGCCAGCGTGCGGGGTCACACAAGGTCAGGCCGCGCCACGGCACACGGGGTCACACGAGGTCAGGCCCCGCCGCCGGCGCACGGGGTCACACAAGGTCAGGCCGCGTCACGGCACACGGGGTCACACGAGGTCAAGCCTCGCTGCCGGCGAACGGGGTCACACTAGGTCAGGCCCCGCCGCCGGCGCATGGGGTCACACAAGGTCAGGCCGCGCCACGGCACACGGGGTCGTTGCTGTTGAAGCGTTCCGCCGCGCTGTGGCGGCGCCCGTGGTCATTAACGTGCCGTCCGGGCCAGCCTGTCGTGTTCAGCATGAAGGAGGGGAATCTCCCCTGCTCGGCCCAGTACACGCCTCGCGTGCAAAGGATTTATGTTGGTATTTAGGATTTGTGTTTGATTTTACACTGCGCGCGGAGACGACACTTATCCATGTTCACAGGCGTTGCTAGCTATGCTAATCCATAGCAGTTGGCAAAAGGCTGTGTTCCAGCAGTACTATGTGGACATCAGGCAGTATCCACAAGAGCAATTGTATTATTGAATCGTCGTACGTATAAATGTGAGGTACCGCAACAACGACTGATTCGTTTGGAGCGCTTGGTGTTTGATGGACAAAACGATCTTGCTCTCGCGCCCTCAACCCCGTCATCATTAGCTCTTCACGTGACCAGAGGGCAGTTGGGAGCCGGCTGATGCGAGGCAGCTCCATTGGGAGCGAGCGCACGGGCTGTGCCGGGCGCCTGTGCCGGGGTGCCGGCGCCGGGGTGCCGGCGCCCGCTCGCCGCCGGCGGACCGGTGTGGACGGCGCGTCGGCATGGTATCGCGCCGTTCGGCCATCACTCCGCCGGCGGCCGGTCACGCCGCCGCCGCCTGACCCGTCGCCCGGCCCGGCCGTGCCTGGCGCCGCCTGCACAAATGATCAGGGACTCCGGCTAAATGGTCCCACTTGGGGCCCGGCACTGCAGAGCAGGCGCGCTGGCAGGGCAAGGTACCTAGACGGCGGCGCTCCAGAGACGACGGTCGACCTCCAAGTCCATTGTCCAGGATGTATGTCCAGGATGTACACGGGCCGCGCGCCACGGGTCAGGGCACCTGTCGCGCCCCGCTGCGTGCGCCGGCGTCGCCGCAGCGGCACGAGCTGCGCAGACGTGGCGGCCACCGTGACTCCAGGTACCCGAGGAACCCCAGCTGGCCCCGACCCGACTGTACACCGGCCGATCTCGAGGTCGGGTCGCGGGGTGCGTTCCGACCCGGATGGCCTGCTGGGCCCGGGTCGGCAGGCGCGCCGCGACCCCCCTCCGGCTGTCTGGGCCGGTGGGTTCGCTCTGACGCCGCCAGCTGTGTGTCAGGGTCAGCTCTCCGACGGAGGTGGTCAGGCTCATTGGTGGCCGCTGGTTTTGCGGTTTTAGTTACGTCCTGCACGATATCCTGGTGGCGTCCTGTACACAGGTGATGACGTTGAACGGCCCGCTGAGAGCCCTGGGCTTTTTATTGCTGGTGCTTTGTCTTCGTCGGTGGTCGGACAAGAGCAGATGCTTTGCCGGCAGCAAGAAACGGATTCGGCCGTCCCGTGGAAGAAAACCGCAGTCGAAGCGAGTTGGCAAGTGCATTTGTCGGGCTAAAATGACGCATTTTGTTGAACAAAATTGGAGATGTTCTTCTTTACCCTGAAACGGCCTCGCTGTGACACCACTGTCAGGGAAATTTCGTTGTCATGTTAATTGCACGGTCTTACAACGTTGGCTTGGTATTGGGAACGAGTCCCGAAGCGGCTTGTGCAATGCCGGGTTTTTGGGACGGCAAAACAGATGGCCCCGCTGACATGAAGGAAGTTACTGATGCATCTCTTTCAGCCTTCCTCCTTCCAAGACGAGGGCATTCGGACGTATTTCACTCTTCTGTGCAAGCCATTGAAATGTTGTCTGCTGATTGTCTGGGAGAAAGACGCTTGTCACGACTGACATCAGCGGTGATCTCGGTCGGGCTAATCATTCCCCGACCTGCATCACCGGGGAAGACACCGACTTCAGCCGTTCGCCACTCGGAGAATCTCAGGATCTCACGCGCCTTGGTCGAGCGCTCTGGTGTTCGATTCCTGCCCGCGCGCGTTTTGCAACGCGGCACTCAGCGAGAAACGTTGCGAAACGCGGCAACCAGTGAGAAATGCTGCGACGCATACGTCGTCAGCAGCTGGCAATCGCTGCCTCGTTCGGTCAGGAATCAGCATTTATGGTGCCACAGTGACATTCGCCGGTCCTGACGGCGTCCGCTGGCACCGCGCGCGCCGTCTCCGTTCATTGGTGGCGGTCCTTGGCCCGTCTGACCGTGTGGCTGCAGGCGGCCGGGTCGGCACGCCCCAGACCGCTTACGAGTCGGCCGGGTCCGTTCGGTCTGCGGTGCAGACAGTCTGATGGCGGCAGGACGGCGTCAGCCCTCTCCCCTTCCTCATACCCCCCCCCCCCCTCCCAGAGGGCGTTACGGCGCCACGGTCCGGCTTCTGCGTCCCGTGCAACACGCGCTGACGCTGTTCGGAACGTTATGTGCTGTCTGGGTGTTCGCGTAGTTTCTTATTGTGTGGTGCCAGCCGCACAGACCTCGTCAAATCAGTGTTATCGCCCGACCCACGAGTTACGAGCCAGCGATCCGAGGTGTCTGGCGTATTTGGCCGCGCTGTTGTAGAGGTAGTCAGCGGAGTGCTATTGGCTCGTGTCGCTCGGAGCACAGGCACGCCGCGCGAGGTGGGTCTGAGGCTTCCACGACGTCGGAAAATGAGGCCCCGTTCTGTGTGCGCTGAATCGTTGATACTCAGCATGATCCATCTTAGCTGCACACCTCCCTTTGTTTCACACACACCGCGTCGTCGCGGTCTGCAACGCGTCGGATGCGCTTGTAACAGACGCGAGTTAGCTGCAAATAGCTGAAAAGAGTGCCTCGCGATTGGACTCACGACAAACCGAGGTCGGCGTCAACGTGCCACGGTTCGACTGCGTGGCGACTGTGGGCCTGGGTCCCCTGCCACGGCCCCGAAGTCGGGACGCCCGGCGCACACCGGCCCGGTGTGGCCCCTCCCCGCCCGGCCGCGTATTACCGGCGGCCCGATCTATTTCTGCCCGCGCCGGCCGCTCCCCCTGCCGCCGCCGCCGGCCCGGCGGGGGAGCGGCGTGTGCGTGGGAGCGGCACACGCACAGCCTGCGCGTGTCGCCGACGGGGTGAGGGGAGCGACACCGGAGAGGTCGCGTCGCCGGCTGGCGCTGGAGGGGAGCCGGCAGGGGAGGGCACCGTCGGGGCTGAGGCTGGCTTGGGCACGGTCGCTGACGCACTGAGGTGCGAATCATGGTGGGGAGGGGACGCGGCACATCCAGGCTGGAGTGGAGAGGCGCCACGGACTGTGTGCGCTGGTAGCCGCGTGTGGAATGTGATCCAGATTAAAGACGCAACTTTTCAGCCCGTCAACTCACCAATTTATGACCTGCAAGAACCCTCTGGCTCTTGGGGGTGTGATGGGTCAGACTTGGCGGGCTTCTGTGGGCCAAAAATTTTAGCAGTCAAAATAATGTATTTGTTGGCATGCAGTAGGCTTTAAAATCATCCCGAAACCAGAGTGTGCTGCCAGACAGAAGATAGTCATGAAACAAATATATTTTTAGCTTTACAGTAAGAGCATTAGTAACAGAAAACCCATAGCAGACGTGACACACCAGCTAACCGCGTTGCACAAAATGCGCAGCTTTAAGCAAACATCTCACTTAAAATGAAAGAATAACGACCCAAATTTTCAAAGCCATGGCCTGGTTTCATTGTGCAGCAGTTAGGCAGGTCTTTAATGTAAATACAGCTACACGCTGCACTTGGCCGTTGTGAGTGTGAGGTGCGCGCAATCTTTTTTCGGCTTACACAAAAAGCAGACCTTACAAATCACGATCAATATCTATGACTAATGGAATGCATGGAAAACTGTGTGCCAAGCTGTCTCAGCTTCACCCGCTTGTTGATACAGGCAGCATTCGCTTGTGTATCAAGTGCGCAACCCTTGTCGAAACCATTGCGTCTATTTTCTAGATCGATGTGTGCTCAGAATGGCACTTTGCGTCTTCAGCCGCGCACTTTCTGTCCCGCATGACAAAGCGCTACAAGCCGATAAGGTGCGCGATTACTCGTCATAGTTGACTGCCCGAGGCCCGCCGGCGCCTATGTGTACATTGGCGGACAAAGGCGGCATCTGAGTCATGGGGCACGCATGGCGCGTTCTAGTCTCTTTAGTCGGGGTCTCTGCCTTCTCCGGCGCGGAGCACTGGGGTCTGCCTCTCTGGGGACCGGCGTCCAGCCTGTGGATGGGCTACGACCAAGCACGCGCTTGCGCCGGGACCCATCGGGAGGCCCCATTGGTTCCAAGGTCCCGAAGCGGGACTAGACGGGCGTCATTTGGCTGCGTGGCGACGGAGGCGATTGTCTTGGCGTCGTGCCGGCGAGCGGCGTCCGCTGGACGGACAAGTGTTCTGGCGAGGCGGCCCTGGGTCACGAGCAACAGGGATGGGGTTGGGGGGGGGGGGGGGGGCGCTTGAGGCGGCAGAGACCCTGGTAAGGAGACTGCGCAGGACAAGGTGGGCTTGGTCCGATGCACAGGTGCGTCGGCGCAGTCTGTGCGTGCGTGTGCGTGTGCTGAGAACGGCACGTGTTGGCCGTGCATCACCGGCCTTCCGTGGTAAGGTCGTTATTAATTGCACCCTAAGGCCTGCCCCCTGGGGAGGCCCTGGCTGGTCAACCGCCGCCAAGCGCAGCGAACTTTCCAGCGTGTGACTGGGCCGCGGACTCGGAGGAGGCCGCCCGGGCGGTTCAGTGGGGCGTGTTTATATGCTGCGGAGCTCGCCGGACCGGCTAGCGACCACCCGACGCCCTCATATATCCCGCGGCATGGGCTGCTGCCCTTGGCGTCCGCCGCCGGCCGGGATCTAGGTCGGAGCGGCGGGCGTGGGCCGGCCGCTGTGGATCGATCC